ATCTCTGTTATCTGAGAAATTATTTCTGATTTCATTTTTTCCAGATCCTCTTTTGTTGCCAGTTCAGGGAGTCCAGGTGGTTGAGCATCAGAGTGTTCCATCTCGTTTCCCTTTGGGGTTGCTGTAGGTGATCTGGAAGTCTGGTTTTCAGACTTGTTTATGTGTCTTCTCATTTCCACGGTGGGGGGTGGGGTGCTGTTGGTGCCTGCACACCTCACCTCCTCCCCTTCCTCTGGGCTGGGAGCAGTGGAACCCAGAGCTTTCTAATGCTCCAAGCAGACTTGGCTCCAGTTGCTTCCTTAAATGCACCCCAACCTCGACCTGGTTTTAAATTTAAAAATTAAAAAAAGGACTGTGATATATCTCAGTATGAAAGCCCTGGTTTCAATCCTCAGTACCACAAAAAAAAAAAAAAAGGAAGGGTCTTAGAGAAATCTGATGGTTTAAATATGGAAGTCCAAATTAAAGAAGCCAGAGCTCTTTTACTTTTTGGAAAAAAGAGATCGTTTTTAGAAGTTCAATGAACCCAAAAAAATTCGGAGGAAAAATTGCCTAGGCAAGATAGGATGTGCAAAAGTGATTCCCTTCATTTTGCTGCTAAAGAAAATGTGTACTACTTAGAGATGAAAATATAGCTTTTAAAACTTTTTCATCTTACCTGGGCATGGTGGCGCATGCCTGTAATCCCAGCACTTAGGAAACTGAGACAAGAGGATCACCATGAGTTCAAGGTCAGCCTGGGATACATAGTGAGTTCAAGGCCTAAACTACATAGCAAGACCCTGTCCCAAAAAAGAAAGAAAAAGAAAGAAAGAAAGGAAGAAAGAAAGAGAAATAGAATCAAGGAGCCTGGTGCAGTTTACCCAGGCATTTTATCCAGTGTAGTGAGTTTATGGGGAAGATCTATACTTGAAACTTCTTCTCTTGGGGTGAGAAAAGAGAGCAGTTAGATCAAGCAAGGCAGGCAAATAGACATAATTCTATTTGACAGGTAGAGTTTCAACGTGGGCTGTCCTCTATTTCTACTCTCTATTTTAGAATAATAGTCACCTCACAGACTATCAAATCAATTCTTATCAGTTGCAAGGGAAATCGAGCATTGAGTAGTACACTGTAATTTGTATGCATATTCCAATGAAGGCAGTAGCTAGTATAGGAAAGTCATCCTTTGCAATTTTTTTTTGGTACTGGGGATCGAACTCAGGAACGTGTGCTTGCCAGACAGGCGGCGGAACCACTGAGCTAAATCCCCAACCCTATCCTTTGCAATTTAAGAGTTCAAACAGTGCTTATAATTCCACTGTGAGAAATAAGTATTTAGTTGTATGCAAGTACTATATGACTACAACAAAATATTGATTTGGCCAAGTTACATGATATGAAAATAAGACTAGTAAAATCCTAAGTATATAAGAAATGGCATACTGAGTCTGAACAACAGTACCATTGGGGGCCGGGGATTTGTTTTTTGTTTTGTTTTTGTTTTGTTTTTGGTACCAGGGATCAAACTGGGGTCCTTGCGCTTGTGCAGCAGGCGGCAAAACCACTGAGCCTGCCTCACAAGCGAAAGGTCTTGAGTTCAATACCTGCTACCAAAAAAACAAAAACAAAAACAGTATCATTGGGTACTTTTCTCTTTTTTTTTTTTGAGACAGGGTCACACTTTGTAGTTTAGGCTGGCAATGAACTCACTATGTAGGCCAGGCTGGCCTCGAACTCACAGTGATCCTCCTGCGTGCTGGGATTACAGGCATGTCCCACAACGCCCGGCTTACCATTGGGTACTTTTTGTGGAATGAACAGAATTACCTTCCAAAATGACTGTTAAAAATGTACCTTGGGCCAGGGATTTAGCTCAGTGGTTCTGCCACCTGCCTCGCAAGTGCAAGATCCCGAGTTTGATCCCAGTACCAAAAAAAAATGTACCTAAAAAGCCAAGGACAGTGGTACACACCTGTAATTCCAGCGTTTTGGGAGGCTGAGGCAGGAGTGTCACAAGTCTGAGCCCAGTTTAGGCAATTAGGCAAGACCCTGACTCAAAATTAAAAAAAAAAAAAAAAGAGCCTTAATACTGCTATTTCTCTAACTCCTTAGTGCAATTGAAAGGGAAGCAATACTCCCAAATTCACTCCTGGAAGCAAGCATTACCCTGATACCAAAACTAGAGAAGGATCCAATCAAAAAAGAGAACTATATGAAATAAATAGAACACACATGTGTAAATACTGAAGAGTTTCTCTCGTGTGAAGAACTAAAAGTGTAAATAAGAATCAAAATGTATAATTGATATCATGAAATAGGAAGAAAATGTCTAAAGGAGTAGGGGAAGTGGGAGGGGTAGGGGAAAGGAAAGAAGGGCAAAGAAAAAATATGAGAAAGGGAAAAACATGGAAACAAAGTCTTTGTAAATAGGGAAGGGTGGAGGGGGTGAAGGGATGGCAGGGGAATGGGGAAAAAATAAGAACCAAGATACATCATGTAAAGGTCCAAGATCCCAATGATGAATGTAACTGTATTGTATACCTAAAATGTACCAATAAACTTAAGTGGAAAAAAAAAGAGAGAGACCTATAGGCCGGTCTCCCTAATAAACATAGATACAAAAATCCTCAATAAGATCCTGGCAAATAGAATTCAGCAAATAATCAAGAAGGTTATATACCATGACCAAGTAGGATTCATCCCAGGGATGCAGGGATGGTTCAACATACCCAAATCCATAAATCAATAAACACCATATTATCAGAGCCAAGGACAAAAACCATATGATCATCTCAACAGATGCAAAAAAGCATTTGACAAGGTCCAACCCTCATTCATGATAAAAATCCTACAGAAAATTGGTATAGATGGTCTTTATTTAAATGTGCTAAAAGCCATCTATGACAAACCAACAGCCAACATCATACTAAATGGACAAAAACTGAAAGCTTTCACTCTAAAATCAGGAACAAGACAAGGATGTCCACTGTCACTACTCTTACTCAGTACAGTTCTGGAAATATTATCCAGAGCAATTAGACAAGAGAAAGAAATAAAAGGAATAAGGATAGTAAAGAAATTAAATTATCACTATT